CTAACTACCCGGTATTCCACTCCCCAATAGGAATTCTCCAATTCGGCGACTAGGTTCACAGTGAGTTTAGTAGTAAGCAACCCCTAAATTGTAAATAAGCCCGCAAGATCAAGCTAACTATCAAAACTAGCCAAACAAGGCCGAAGCGTTGGCCCAAACAAAATTCCCAAAACTCGCGACAATGAAACCAGGCAGCAATTGGAATTATCCAATTAGGCAACTAGGTTCACTATGAATTTAGTAATCAAGCCCTTAATCGTAAATTAAGTTTGGACTCCAGCAATAAAAAAATAAACCATTTGTTAAACTGAAAATACGCTAAAATTCAATCAATAATTGTAATTATAATACTACTTTTTTTTTTTTTTTTTAGTTATAAGGGTAAGCTTTATTTATAATACCACTTAGCTACATATAATGAGCTCACACTAGTATAATGTCTAGCTGGTACATCAAAACGATTGTTAAAAGATTCTAAACACCATTTTAAAAAATAATATAACAGGAGTAGTACTATATATGAGTGGTGGCTCCGTTCTTTAGGAAGGAAGTAAATTGGATAGAAGGGAGAGAAGAATGGAAGGATGAGACATCCCTAGGGAAGAGATTATGGAATTCCCTCATTTTATTCGGTTGTATGAAAGAGAAGAGAAGAACCTACCAAATTTCTTTGTTCGTTGTGAGAGAAGGGAAGTGATAATTTAAAATTATTTTTATCATTATACCTTTCATTATTTTTTTTTCTCGGTAAATAGCCATCATCTTTTCTACTCATTTAAACAGTACCATTAATTTCACTCTAATTTATTGTTTGCTTTAATTATATATATATATATATATATATATAATGAATAATAATAATATAAAAAAATGTATCCCACTATCTACATACTTCGTTGATAAATATTATCCTAGTAAAGTCATGTCAAACTAAAATTTTTATTTTCAGCCATTTGCGTTGAACACTCAAAATTATTTGCACCACTAGTCGTAGTCTTACAATATATGACAATACTAGTGAAGTAACTACTATTTTTAGAACTAGGTGTGAACATGGAGTTTTTTTTTTTAGGTTTTAAATATGTTCTAAAAAAATGCTTTATGGCATTGTATAGTTTTTTATGTAAACCGTGTCTTTTTTCTTCTAAATCCTCTTTTTTACTAATAAGAAAATTATATAACAAGCAATCCATATATATATATATATAAGATTCAGATTTCGACCAAATAAGGATTACAGAGGTCAAAAAGAAGGTATACACACACACACACACACATATATACATATAACACATGAATCATACCTTGATAGGGTTTTTTTTTTTTTTTTTTGCGTGAGATGAGATGTGTAGGGTTTAATTTTTAATATTTGGAAAGGATAATATTGTAATTTAATAGTTTTATAATAGCTCCAATTGTTTTCTCTCCTGTCTTCCGCCCAGATTTGGGCGGCTGAAAATTTGTAAAGAATGAGGGATAAGACATCCCTCCTATTATCCTTTCCCTCCGTGTCTTCTTCCTACCGAACGAAGGAATTTTGTTCTTTCCCTCCTGTTTTCTTTCCACCCCTCTTTCTTCCTTCCTACCGAACAGAGTAGTGTAACGGGTGGATGCTTATCCATTTATTTAAAAATTTAAGTTATTAGGTGAGATTAACACCCTATCTGAATTTGGAACATCCTCTTTGTAGCTCGGGTCACCCTGTCTACCCGGGTTGCAGTCCCGGACGCCTTTCGGCCGGGCGCTTGGCGTAACATCAAGGACTGAGTCTGGCGTTGATACCAACTGTAATGGATCGGTGCTTGTCCATTTATCCAAAAAAAAAAAAAAAAAAACTTAAGTTATTATTGTGAAACTGACACTCAATTCATTTATACCCATATACTTTTTCATTCAGATTTGACGTGGGACAAGCTCCCCCTATTACACTTAGTTTATAAAATATTTGCTGTTGAACTACCTTACAATTGAGTGTAATGTATTTCATTTGAAAGATTAATGAATTTCCCGAATTGTTGCTTTATGTGTTTGTTATTACTTCCGGCTTTCAAAAATTGCGCTTCATTGATTCAAGAAAGCACCCATTGATTCTTGGACAAAGTACAGAAAACCACCCTAGCCTTGTACCCTTTTTTAGTAAACTCCTATTATCTATTTTTTTTTTACCAAATAATCCTCCTCAACTTGTAGCATTTTTCCAATAAATTTTATTTGTCTAATTTTTTACCAAAGAACCCACATCAACTATCTGAATGAGGTAAAATAGTTGATATTTGGACAAAAATACCCTTTTATTTAAATCTTAATTCTCCCGAATTTCAAAATTCATATCTCACAGACCGTAAATGATATATGCACGGAAAACTTACGAAATAAAAAATCCAGAAATATAAGATTTGTACAACAAACCTTTATAACTAGAAAGAAATGAGCAATCTAAAAATCTACTCCAAAAATCTTATTTTATTTTTAATACTCGAGAAATTTGCAAGACAATTTTCAGAATTATTCATTTACATATGGAGCCAAATATATATATAAAAAAAAAAAATTAACCCTAACAAAGATCAATTTTATGAGATATCACATTTTGCATCAAAGTATTTTTATTCTTTTATAAACTCATAATTTTTTTTTTTTTTTAAAAAGAGTAAAAAAGAATATTCAGTCTCTATTGGGGCTAATTTTTTTTATATGTTATGCTCCATATGAAAATAAATAATTCTTAAAATTTTCTTGCAAATAACCTAAGTATTTTATAAAAAATAAAATAAAATAAGATTGTTACAGTAGATTTTTAGATTGTCTATTTCTCGTTGGTTATAAAGTTTTGTTAAACAAATATTATATTTTATGGAATCCTTGTTTTATAAGCTTTCCGTGCATATATTATTTACAATATTTGGATGTACGATTTGTGATATATGAATTTTTGAAATTCAAAAAAATTAATATTTAAATAAAATGGCATTTTGGTCTAAATATTAACTCTTTTACCCCCTAAATAGTTTAGGGGATTCTTTGGTAAAAAATTAGATAAGAGGGATTTATTGAAAAATACTACAAGTTAATGGAGGTTCTCTGGTAAAAAATTAGACAAGGGGGATTTATTGAAAAATGTAACAAATTGAGAGGAGTTTTCTGTACTTTGCCCTTATTCTTTGATCGGTGAAAGAAATTAAGGCTTCATCCGAATAACTTAACGAATTTACTTTCTTAAAAAAGGTTTATTATTGAAGATGGAACTGGTACTCAATTGCATAATAAATTAGAGTTATGAGATCTCCGCAATAGCGGGCTTGAAAGACCTAATATTTTTTGAGAGTCTAGACGAATGTGAAGCTCAAAATTTTGATAGGGTCTTTGGGCTCCAATAATACAAATTATTAAGCCCGAATTGGAAGCCCTGAGAGACCTGTGGTCGTATAAGCCCAAGCCGGCCCTGCTCCACAAAAGCAAGTAAGTCAAGCGACGGGGATTAATAATCGATTACTTTAAATACATTCAATGCTCTCACCAATCGAAAATGCAGGAGGGAAAGATTAATCCAGAAAAATTAAAACCAAAGGAAATAGTTTCTCAAAACCTAATGCAAATTTGTTTACTAATATTACCATGAATTTGGTTGCTAGAATGCAACAACTATAATTTAGAGGTTAACCTTCAAAGAATCAATTGGGTTAAAACCACTCTCCTACTCAAAGAAAGCAAACTTATTTTACATCCACCAGATGAACTCGACCTCAATCTCAATTTTGACCTAAATCTTTGCCAAAAATTAAAAATATTTTTCGAGAAAAATATTTTGCGTCAAAACATTTTAGAATATAAAATACATATCCCAAAAGAATATAAAATACAAGTTTAGGTTATTCGCCTCAATTACAACGCTTTACAAAAGAATGCTAGCACTAATGAATTGGTTACAAAAATTACCAAAAAAAAAAAAAAATACATTCATTAACCCTATCTACATTGTGAGGGTCCTTCATCAACCACGTCCTTGTTGTGACTTGAAATTTTATTTCAATATCTACATATACCTCGGTGTCCCTCGTATAAAACATGTCTCCCAATTCTTTTTTACTTATTTTTTATTATTTGTTTGGGTAATACAGTTACAAAAATACACTCTTAACCTAGTTCTCGCTCAACTCTTGTCCTCTTGCAATTTAATAAACGGTTTTGAACGGAGAGAGGAATTGAGCTCCGCTAAATGAGGGCCGGAATGCATGGGTTCTCCTGTCCCAAACCCACTTGTTGCATTAATAGGGATGACTTCGAATAATATTAAAATTTAAAAATAAAAATTGAACCCAGATAATTAATACAAAAATATAATTATTGATTGAATTTTATATTAAAATATAATTATTGATTGAATTTAAAAAAAAATAAATTCAACCTAGGGACAATTTTAGAATCAGAGGTAAATTTTTTATGTTCAACAGCTAGGGAGATATTTAGAGATTAAAGTTACCTTATTTATAGGGCTTTAATTTGCTCTGGGGATATTAAATGGATATAAGCTTATAGACTAATTTCATCTTAAAAAGAATTAGCTACCATTGATTTTTTTCACAAAAAAAAAAAAAAAAAAAAAAAAAAAAAAAAAAAAAAATCTTTTGAAAGTGAAAATTAAAGGGTCTCATAAATGATCAAATGGGATAACTAAAATAAAAAATCACTCGGGGTAAAAATAGATCAATCAGAAAAAGAAAAACTATTATCGAACATAACAAAGCAATGACATGAGCTGTCTCAAAAAGGAGAATACTATGAACGTATTGTTTGAATTACCTCCTTATTTTCTTATTCCATTAGATCCGGTAGGAGTATGCTGTTGAGTGTTGACTCTTCATCAACTAAACAATCAACAAATGGAACCACCTTTTTTACCATCTGATCAAGTTCACAATACTTCTCTCTTTTAGGAGTTCTATGGTCAGAACTGGTGGCTCCTCGCCCCCATCCTTGCTGGGAGGATGGTTCTGTAATTGCTATTTTGGAATGGCGGAACGGATGGGATTTTTCCCTTTTTCAGCAGATTTCAAAGTTATTGAATAACATTCTTTAGCCGCAACCTGGTCCCCGTGTATATCTATCACCTTGGTCCCATCCGGACCCAAACATCGTATCACTTGATGTAAGGTTGACGGAACGCCCTGAATTCTGTGAATCCATCCTCTGCCCATCAAGAGGTTGTATGATGGATAAATTTCCACTACCACGAAACTTTCAGTCAAAACCCGCTCAGCGGCTTGTACTGTCAATTCCACTATTCCAATGGGTTCCACTCGCTTCCCATCAAATCCGAGCAACGGATTTCCTGTGGGTTTGAGTTTTTCGGGTTCGATCTCCAGTCGGTCGAACATCACCCTGGGCATAACATTCGCACTACTTCCTAGATCAATCAGGACTCTCCGAACCAGGCATTCTGCAATCGTCAGACTGACGACTAGTGGATCTTCATGAGGAATCTGAACACGTAGTAGGTCCGTCTTATCAAACTTTATCGATGTGGACGTGTTCTGCTGGTGCAAAGCGCGCACACTACCAATTCTTCTTTTTAGCTGGGCCTGGCGTAACCTCGTCCTGAGCAACTCCTCTGACTCCGTTGTTTGTTCAGGCCGGCCATGAATTGCGTTTATAATCTGGTCGGGCTGGGAGTTGTGTTGGTTCGGCCTCTGGTTCCGCTTGATTTGCTCAGTCGGGCGGTTATGCTCCTGCACCGGACCCTGAACATAGCTTGCAAACTCCCCCTTTGCGATCAGCATCTCTACCTGCCTCCTCAGGTTCCTGCATTCGTTAGTCTGATGCCCAAAATCACTATGGAAAGCATAATGTTTAGTCTGATCCCTCTGTTCAAGAGGTTGTCTGATTGGCAGAGGAGGACAAAACTTATCTTTGTTCTCCTGGTATAGCCTTACTAAGGTGACTCTGAGTGGAGTGACTGATTCCTCCTCCCTGGGCCTCTTCTCCGCCTTCCATGAGGGGTGATGTTGCGGTTGAGCTTGTTTTTGCCGGATCTTGGCTTTGGACTTCTCCTCTATCGAAATAATTGACGTCTTCCTTGAATTAGCTGCTTCTTCCTCCTCAAGGCGAACAAAGCCGTCAGCTCTCTCGTTCAGCTCGTCCATTGTCTTTGGCGTATTAACCACCAAGCTGGTATGGAACGGCGTCCCCCGGTTCATTGCGAGTTTAAATGCTTGGACTACTGTTGACGGGTGACACTCTATTACCATGCTTTTAACGAGGTTGAACCGGGTGAGAAAAGCTTGGAGCTGCTTATCCTCATGCTGCTTCATTGTAAAAAGGCTCGATACATCCTTAGCCAGACGCTTATTCCCGTAATACTGGCTTATGAACTTATCACATAAGTCCTGGAAACTGGCGATTGAGCCTTAAGCCAGATTCTTGAACCAATTGAGAGCTGCTCCAGCCAAGCTCGTAGGGAAACACTTGCACATCAAAGGATCATTATTAGTATTCAAAGCCATTTTCAACTGAATATGGTATATGTGATCGACCGGATCAGTTGTTCCGTCGAACAGAATGAAGATCGGCATGGAAAACTTCTTCGGATTCGGCGCGTTCAGAATTTCATCAGTGAATGGCGATGCGACCGTCCTTGCTGAGGAACGCAGTGCTTCGTTTTCTCTTGAGAACCGTGACGGAAATCCTCGATCAGCAGATCTCCTTTCCGAGCTATAGTAATCGACTGTCGCTAATGAAGGTCGGTATGGCGGATCGAACGACCTATCCTCCCCAAATTCACTCCGCCATGGTGACGCAATCCGATGTTCATACGCCGGTGCTTCCTCCCTCATAATCCGTTTGTGATGCGGTTCCAGACGAACAAATCCTTCCCGATCCTCCACTCGGCCAACATTCGGAGGTAGATTACTGATTATACCTTTATCACGACGTTGACCACCATGATTGACGTCTTCTGGATCACCTTGATGATCAGCTTCGGACGGTAAAGCTCCCTCTCCTTCAGGAGGCGGCCTCGAAATTGCAGGAGCCTCTCGATGCTCCATTCCAGCTCGTAGCTCTGCATTTTCTTTCCTCAAAGCATCGATCATGTTCATTAGTTCATCGAGCTTTGTCTGCTGGCCGTTCTCCAAAGAATTCGGGTTCGCCTCTCCGATCATCATTCCAGATCGGAGTAAAGTCATCAACTGCAGGCTTCTTGATCAAATTGGAGTTCCGCTAACGCGCGCACACCAGATCTGAACTTATGCTTGCCGAATTCAGTCCACTACTAGCTGGATTCAGTAACTACAATAGATCACAACCGCGCAGTTCGCCGGATTAAGCACGGATCTGATCTGCTTGGATCGGACGCCAATTTTCCGAAATCAACCGGATGTGGACTCGTCAACACAAATCGTATTATCACCAATGTTGATTCAGCTTTCGCAGATTAGTCGTCTTCCTCGCAGAATGCGTTGAATCAATCCGATCTGGAATGATATCAATCAATCCTCCCGTTCTTCCCACAGACGGCGCCAATTGAAAGTACAAAGAATTTTTCCCTAATTGTAGAGAGAGAAACTTTACACTCTCAATGATTTTTTTAAAACCTTTTCCCTCTCAATCCCTTCTATTTATAGACGGTTACAACCTCCACTGAGCTGGTCATATCTTGTTCTCCTTTGGCTGGACTCGATTTCTCTCATTTTATCATGGGCTTCTGAAATGGCTTTATGGATCTGGGCCCATACGGCACGAACTTGCTTCATCCCGTTCGTCCACACCCGACCCATCCTATGCAATGTGGATCACACCAAACCCGGGTCATTTTGGTATCTTCATATATATATATATATATATATATATATATATATTATGCATATTAAATGAATTATATATATATAATTATATAGAGAATTATATATTTATAATAGGTATATATGTATAGGACATTATGCATATATATGGTAAGTATAGTTAAAAAGGATTTATAAATATATATTACATAATATATATATTTATACTTATATGTTTTATGTATATTAATATAGTTGGAGTCCTACATGGAAGAGGATTTGAATTGGCAACATATATTATTTATTTATTTATATTTATATGTGTCATGTATATTAATATAACTAGAGTCCTACATGGAGGAAGATTTGAATTGGCAATATATATTATTTATTTTTGTTGTGTGAGGAATATATATATATATATATATATATATATATTAAATAATTATATATATATATAATATAATATATGTGTATATATTTTATTTACAGTTATTATTATTTTTATTTGGGTAGTCATACTAGGAATGAAATTAGGGTATTAATGTGTATAAATATAAACATAAGGTTATATTATTAAAAGGTTTTTCACGTTAGAAAAAAAATAAGAGAAGTAGAGAAAATGAAGAAGGGAAGACTGACAACGAGAAGGCCGAATCAGAGAAAGAGGACGTCGTATTTGGAAGAGACAACCAAGGTTAAAGCGTCAATTTCGTTTCGAAACCTTCAGACAAGTTCTTTTCTAACTCTCCTCTTATAACCCATTAGTTTATCACCTTGGGTATCAAAATCTATAGATTAAATTGGCATGTTAATCACCTAGACATAGGATAAATGCATGTGAAGAAATTGATTAGTAGAAAAGGAAGAATCCTTCTTCAACTAGAAAACTTTCTCCAATTCCCGTTTTATTATTCTGTATGTATCTCTTTGCTCGACTGCCAAAACGGCTCAAATCTTGCACAGTTGAATGGAAATTCGATTATCTACAATTTTGTATTTGACGAAAATTTCGTGAAACAGATGTTTACCTTATCAAAACTGGGTTGGAAGACAATACGAATTTTGTGTATATATATATCTTATCCTATAATTGTTTTAACCAATTTGGATAATTTGTATGGTTGGGTGTTAACTAAATAATTCTTAATATTTATATTTAACGTGTAACGTGTTATTTAGATATTGCTAAATTGTGTAACCTACGTGTTATATACGCCTACGTGTTATAATGTCACACATAAATAAATAAATATAACCTAATCAACTAATAAGTTGGTTATTGATATTTATTATGTTTATATATGGGATGTTGGTGTTGATGAAATCATAATAGGTTGTTTATTTAAATTAATTATATACTTATATCTTGCATGGAGTGCCTATGTATGATTTATTTCATAGTTAATTGTAAAGTTTGGTACATGGTTAAATTGGAGGCATGGATGAGTTGCTAAAGGGATAAATAAATTGTCTTATTAATTATATGAATAAAATACATACATGGGAAGTATGGATGGATTGCTAATTATTAGTATGGATTAAAAAAAAAAAAAAAAAAAAAAAACATACTTTTGGAGGCATGGATGAGTTGCCAAGATATAAACAGATTGTCATTTAATAGGCATGGTTGATTTGCCAAAGTATAAATGTATTACTTATAGAAGCATGGTTGAGTTGCTATCGTATAAATAAACATACTTCTAGAGGCATGGTTGATTTGCCACAACATAAATAAATATTTGTGGAGGCATGGATGATTTGCCAAATTATAAATAAATTGCTAGGTAAGTTAGATGATTAAATATACATCTATGGATATTGTGTTTATAAATTGGAGGTGATAAATATTCTTATATTATAATAAACTAATGTTTAAAGGATATTATATTATTTTATAGTATTGATAAAATAATATTAGTGAAGGCATGAGTGAGTTACCAAAATATAGATCTTTGTTATGTGATATTTATAAATAAAATCATACATTGGTGGATAATGGGATTTGGATTGAAAAAAAATATTTCTTGGATTATTATTTATTATTTAAATGGTTAAATAATTGTTTAAATATGGAATTTAGGTTTAAATGAGTTTTCTTTTAAAAGGTGAATGTACTTGATGGTTAATTTAAATATAGAAGTAGTTTTATCATTGTTTATGGTCTTGGATTTCAAGGATTATATTAATGAATATATTCTTTATATTTTTATATTAATTATATATGTATCATCTTATATTAAAGGTTAAAACTTTAATTAGGATGATTTTGGTTAAAGATGTTTTATTTATTGATTTTCAAAGGCTTGGTAGAGGGAACTTGCTCGTGGGTCTAACCCACGATTTATTTTTCAGGTTATTAGAAGTTCCAGTCTCGAGGTTGAGGATCCGCAGCTGGGAAACTGTCATTCATCTACTCATCTGGTTTACTTTTTAGTGTTGTTATTTATTGTTAGATGTTTGGTAAATTAATAGTTTATGGTTTAGGAGTCCTTGACTTATAGGATTTCCGAGTTGTATTTTAGAATTTTAAATTCATGGAATTTATTTTTTTTAAGGAGGTTTTATTTTATTAATAAAATTTCGTTCAGCGATTTATTCATTCTTTTTATTCTTCTTATATTCTATGTTCGTTTAAATACTAAAGTGTTTTCGGGTGTGGGCCTGGCAACCTACACGTGAAAATTCGGGGGTATCACAACTATGATCGGAGCCTTCGAGAGTACAATAGCTACTATCGCTAGATGTTCTGACAATGTAAGGACCTTCCCAATTGGGTGAAAACTTGGGAGATAAAAGTCCTTTCATAACATGTAGGGCAGCCTTAAGCACAAGTTCACCTGGTCTAAACTGTCGAGGCTAGACATGTTTGTTGTACGCTCGCGCGATGTTGCGCTAATATTGCTGAAGATGTTGTAGGGCTGCCTCGCACCTCTCATCGAGGGCTTCCAGCTCACTATCTCGAGCCATAGGGATCCTCGAGGCCAGCTATGTCACTGGGATCGCAATATCTACAGGCAAGACAGCCTCAGTTCCATAGACGAGGGAGAACGGAGTTTGTCTAGTAGAGCGTTTGCTGGAAGTGCGATACGCCTAGAGCGCCAAAGGTAGCTGATCAACCCACGTGGTTGGGCTTTCTTCGAGGGTCTGACTCAAGATTCGGATGATATTCTTATTGGAGGCTTCAGCCTGGCCATTACCCTGGGGATAGTAAGGCGACGAGCGTATATGCTGGACATTGTATTGCGCGAGTAGCTTTTTGACTTTGCGATTTACAAAAGGGGTACCATTGTCGATGAGAAGACATTGAGGAACCCTAAAACGACGGATGATATTTTCTCGTATGAATTCAATGATAGCCCCACCTGTTGCATGCTTAAGCATTATGGCCTCGATCCACTTGGTGAAGAACTTTGTCGCCACAAGGATCCATATATGCCCTCGCACTGGCAGGTGGATCGGGCCAATGAGGTCTAATCCCCATGTATGAAATGGCCAAAAGGCCTCAATGGGATGGAGGGGCGTAGCCGGCGTGTGACTTTGATGATGATGATGTTAACAAGGCCTGCACCTTTGTACATGTGACGCATGATGATAATGTTAACAAGGCCTACACCTTTGTACAAGAGACTTGGCGTCGCATTCCATAATGGGCCAATAGACTCCTTTTTGTAGCAAATGCGCGAAGAGCTTGCGCGCACCTTGATGATCGAATTGGTGAGCCTTTTTAAGGCTTCTGCGGCCTCGCTTTGGGATAAGCATTGTAAGTACACGCCATTGAGGGCGCGTCGAAAAAGCTCGCCTTCCCTAAGCTCGAACCTTGCAGATTTTCGCCTTATCTTCGCCGCGACTTGCTTATTTGCGGGGAGAGTGCCATTAGATAAAAATTTGATAAAAGGATGCCGCCAATCTACAACTTCGAGGACACAAGACTCTGTCTCATCCATCATGGCCTGACATCACGAGCAGTTTCGTTGAAGGGTGTTGGCTTGCACAGCCATATCTGGCCAATAATAACCCTGACGCTGGAGCCTGCGATACAGTGCGAGAGGGGTAACGCAATGTTGCTTGTGAGTCATTTTGAGGACCGCTTCCACTTCTTGAGAGTTCAGGCATCTGGCCAATGTTCCACATGGTAAACGGGAGTATAGCAGCCCTTGCAATAGCTGGAAAGACTTCAATTACATAAAGGGTAAATGTCCCACCTTGTGCTTGAGTTGTTAATGATGGGGGCTCGTCAGTCATCGTCCGGAACTGTTGGGGCGAGGAAAAGCTCGGTGATGGTAGCTGGGCTGATGTACTCGGTAATGCGGACTTCAGTCACGTCATCTGCAATTGTTAGTTTAGAGGCCAATGTTGCGAGTGCATCGAGATACCTATTACTG